TATTTTATTTTTTATCCTCCCAATGACAAAAGCCCACATCTCTAACTCCTCTTGCTATGTACTGAAATAGGGTGAGATTGTCACCAAACTAACTAGCCCTTTCCTACCCAGTTCTCCCTCCTGGGTTCAGACAACATTAAAAAAAAAATCCCACTTAGAGATATTAATGATCAATGCTCAGCCATATAAGGAGGGGGAAAAAAAAAAAAAAATCAAAAAAAAATCAAATCCTTTCAAAGAGAGTGCACACTTCCATTTTATTGGTTAGAATGTAATTGTCATAGCAGCTGGACATGTTATAGATCCAATCTGTCAAATGCAAGGAGTGCAAAAATTGCACCTAAGGAGCCACAAGTTATGTTTCACCATAATCAAAGCCAAGAGAAAGTTTAGGGGTAGCTCAGGAATGGCATTTTCTGTCACCATACTCTACCACTGGATTATTTCATACACTTGCAGTGAACAGTCAGCACATAGGAAGCTCTCTTATAATTTTAGAGAAAAGTGATCAGGTGAGTGTTTCTGCACTTCCTTTCACAGCATTTGATGAAGGGAGTTTCAACTCAAAAAAGCTTGTGCTATTATCTACTTCAGTTAGCCTACAAGGTGCAAATCTACCTTGCCTTCTACTTGACTTTAGATTAATACAGCTAACTACATCTCTCCACCACAAAGCCATACTCAGTACCTCCAGCAAAATTAGAACCAATACTGCTCTAGAGCTCAAATAAAGAGACTTCAGAAAAAAATATCGTTCAAGAACACTAAAAGGAAATATATTTGTCCCACAATTAAAAATAGCAGATGTTAAGATACCCTTGACCTTTCAGAAAAACATTTTCTACTCCATTTTCACAAATCCGCTTAGCTATCTTACGTGATCAAGCTGCCCAAATATTTGTGCAGAAAATTGAGTTTTTACCTCTTCATCTTTCTCTTCACTCTCAATTACACTCCCACGATCACTATCCACTGATGCTTCTGTTTAAAGGGAACAAGCAGAAAAGGACGCTCAGTTCAGACATTAATCATAAACATGCGACTAACCCCATCCTTAGACTGTGGCTGTCTACTCTACAGACTTAAATAGGCTTTAGTAATAAAATTAAAATATAGGTTAAAGAGATTGCTTGTAGTAGCATAGGTCTCAGCTAATCCCTCCATTTCATGTTTACAAGCATCAGATCCTGTAAGCACTCACTGTCCCTACTATATATGATATTCAAGCCTTCACAGATACTTAATGTGGTATATCCTTCCTCCATTAGGTGCAGTGACCAAGATCACTGTAAAACGTAATACAACGCAAGCCAAGACATCTCAGTAAAGCTATCCCCAGCACACACCTTCACTAGAGAGATCCCCAAGACCAACGTCATCTTGTTCCATGAAGAGCTGGGAGCCAATTAAGTACGGTAAAGGCCTATCAATATAGAGATCCTGAAGAAAGAAAAAGAGGGGTTATTTTTTGCCCTTAGACTGCTGCTAAAACCATATTTTATACATCCTATTTTAAAAAAACCAAACAAAAACACAAATAACTTTAAGTTTCATATTAAAAAAAAACAAAACTAAGAAAGCCCATTATCATACAGAACCTTAATATAACGAAATTTGAATTTATGAAAAAAGTAATTCACCTATTTAAATTGCTTTGGGACCATGCAAACTGAAGCATCATGCTGATTTGACAGTCTCTAGACTTAAAGTTTACTACTAATGAAGATGAGTATGCACCATATTTATTTGCATATACCATACCACAGCATGTAAAACAGGCACCTTGATTTTAGGAGAAAAGATGAAGAAAAAGAAATCCATTCCTTGCAGAAACTGAGTAGCAGCAGCTAGAGAGCTGAGCCTACTGCCAGCCCTGGCATTGAATGCCACCCATTAATCAACTCAGAATGCGAGGGCCGGGGTCACATGCTGGGTCTGACCTGGAGCACAGAGTTTAATCCCATGCCAGCTCCAAGGCCGTGTGCTGGCTCCAACCCCAGGCATGGGTCTAATCCTGGGTACTGGCCCCAGACACAGAGTGACTTTAGGCATGCAGGGCCTTGTTATCCAGTTAAGGAGCAGGGGAGCAGTAGTAACATTAATTGATGCAACTCTGGAAGCCATGGCAATTAACAGTGGGGTTCCGCAGGGCTCGGTCCTCAGGCCCGCCCTGTTCAACATCTTCATCAGTGATTTGGATGAGGGGGTAAAAAGCACCCTGTTCAAATTTGCAGATGACACTAAGATGTGGGGGGATGTGGGCACACTAGAAGGAAGCAACAGGCTACAATCAGACCTTGACAGGTTACAAAGGTGGGCGGATGAGAATAGGATGGGTTTCAACACAGACAAGTGCAAGGTGATGCACCTGGGGAGGAACAACCGGCACCATACCTAC